TGTGAAGCAATCATTCCCAAAACTACACAGCTAGCCATTTGGATCTCAGGTTACAATGTTATGGCTCAAGTTTTCAGTCAATTGATCGGAACCTGAATACAAATGACAAAGAGTATGTTGGATAGAGAGAGACAAGGAAATGCAAATCAGAATCCATCAAGGACCATCGTGTTAAATGGATGAAACTAATACCCAGGTTCATGTCATACATCTTACAAGGAATCGAAAAAGAATATTCAATCAGACAGCTTGTGATACTGTTGTAAATAATTCATTGTTAAGAAAACATGTCAGAATCGCATTTCGTTGGGGAGAGTGGGGTGGGGCTTGGGAAGTTTCCATCTTTGGAACTAACATCTAATAGCAATCTAGTCAAAATCTTAAAAGAAACACATGGAATTGGTCGAAACACCAGATAAAGAGGAAGAATCCTAAGAAAAGAAAATTACCTGTTCAAACCCAGTATGAACAATCGGCAAAACTATAGGGGTTACAGGAGCACGAGCAATGAGACTAGCAGCCCCCCACTTCAATCGTCTTATAGGTGCATCTTCCTGGTATACTTTTCCTTCGGGAAATGTATGCAACTGCCCATCAGAGATCCAAAAGTTTGAATTTAAACAACTAAAGCTTTCACATAGATATACACTTCACAGCACAAGTCAACAACTTTTTCAAAACTACTGAGTCTATAAGGTAACATTCCATTTCACAAACTACAACTGAAGAACCCATCAACCCCAAAAGTTCCAAACTTTACATAAAAATCTCAGGTGAGTGATATCGGCAACACGACATATACAATGATTGAATATCTCCCACAAGTGCTCAGTAAGTGAAACTAGACTGACCCATTAAGCAGAAACTAGAACAGTAAACATAAGACTAAGAAATTATTACCCATGAACCTTCACTTAATCTCTCAAGAGCTTCGTTCATGTGTTCTTGATAAATGCCGCCACCCCGCGTAATTGGAATGCACTTCCCTGACCAAATCAGCACATCAAAAACAAATCCCACCTCGAAAAAACAGATACAATGTGCAAAAACCCCCAAATCAAACAAAGAAAAGAAACCAAATTCAACTTACCAAGTCTGAAGAAGTAAGAAAGCACCGAATTTTTGAAGCAGATGTCCTCGGCGGCCAAAACCCACCTCGCCAAATTCGCATCAGTGCTGGGGAACCCCTTGAAACCCCACAAAAAGGGGTCGTCCATGGTGGACATGTGGTTGCTGACAGTGACGAGTGGGACCCCATTAGGCCGAGACCGGACCAGACGGAGAAGGGTGCCGGCATTGTGGACAGTGGTGGAGTTGATGAGGGAGACGACGGCCTTCGCCAGACCCCCCACCGCCGTGATCACCATCTTCCTCGGAATGCCGCCCATGTGATCGGACCGGGCAGCCCATTCCATGATTCTTCGACCCATTATCCCAGTTGGGCCGATTTGGATTTCACCGGTTCAGGGATCGAATTGGCGGGATTTCGAACGCTGCATAGTTGATTATATTTGGCGGAAAGGGAAGCAGGATGTGTTGATTTCGTTTGTGATTTGCTGTGGGTGAGTGAGGTTTGTTCTAGTGGAACTGGTGAGGAAGCTTCATCTTGGGCCTAATGGGCCTTTCCTAATTTTATTGACTGGGCCTTTACAAAGAAGTTCAACTTGTTTCCTAGAAAATGAAGAGGTGACGATGCATAACTTTTTTTTTTTCAATAAAAAAATAACTTTTTATAACTTGATAAAACTAATTTCGAATTGCAATTGAGACAGGAAGTGAGAGCAAACGAGAGAAAATTGAAGGACAGAGAGAGCACCGAGCGGAAAGGATAGCATGTTTAATGTAGGCGATTGGTGAATTGGAGTGTTGGGGCATAAGTGTGATATCATATTTCTAACTAAAATAGCTATACAAGGTTAATTTTGTTATTTTAAAATTAGTTTACGCTAATGTCAGCATAAAACTAAAGGAATTCTAACGGAAGGAGATTTGTAAAATGATTTTAAAACGTTAGGGGTATTTGTGATACGTTGAAAACACGAGGAGGTTTTGTGAAACACAAAAAACTCATGGGAGTTATTAACCCTAGAGACATAATTTGCATAAAAAATATCTTAACTAATTACATATTACATATTGGCAAGTGAACGGCCACATAATAAGTATAATTTACAACAATTAAGTATTTTTAGGATAATTAAAGTTTTGGTAAAAAAAAAATTGTATAGGGTGTTTAATTAATATTAGTGATACAATTAATTAGCATGTAAAATATATGATTTTACAATGGAACAGTTTAGTAATCAAGCTAGTTTTTTATTACACCAGTGAACTAATAAACAATTTATATGAAATAAACATCATTTTTACTTCGATTCTACATAATTCTATTTTTTAACAAACGATATTATTTACACGAAGGGTAAATGGTTTAGTAAACAACTTTTAACATAAATTTAATCTTAATTCTTCTTTAATTCAATCATGTAGAAAATAAACGAGTCATTAGCGTTCTCCTAATGGATTTTTGTTTTTAACTTTTTGTTAAAGATATGCAAAATTTTCCCCCTTTCCATCCATTTGATAGCAAAAAAAGTTCAAATATTTTCTTCTTCTTCGGACATGCAACATGGAGTAGCATGTGGCGCCCACGATTTATTGTCAATAAGGTAAAAAAAGGAAGAAATAAACCTAAAGCCACACGAAGAATCCAGAAACCAAATTAAAAAGCTCACACGCATATGGCAGACTTGTGCATTTCCCAGTCCTCCCTTTTCCTCCTACGCCCCAAAATCGGAGCGTTCCACAACACCACCATTTCTCTTCTCCTCGGCGGCGGCGGAGCTAGGCGCCTGCAGCACAACAACAATCTCACCTTTCACGGATTCGGAGCGTCTCGCGGGTTGAGCTACACCACGGCGATTCAAAAACTTGGAGTGGTTTCCGACACGAAAACTACCACCATATTCACTGTTGATTCGGGAATCAAGGATATCGGTATCGAACCGGTTGCCGGCGGCGGAGACGGTGGGGGTGATTTTGGCGGCAGGGGAGGAGGCGGCGGCGGAGGGGGTGGAGGTGGAGGTGATAATAGTGAGGGTAAAGGGGAGGGCGAGGAGGGACCTAAAGAGATCAAGAAGAAAGGGATGTCGATGTCTCAGAAACTAACCCTAGGATATGCTGCCCTTGTTGGAGGTAATCAATCAAGTTCCTTTGCTTTCGAATCGTTAACATCTTTGATTAGCTTGTAAATAATAAAGTTAACATCTTTGATTATCTTGTAAAATGTGAAGTTAACATCTTTGGTTAGCTTGTAAAATTTAAAGTTAACATCTTTGATTATCTTGTAAAATTGATTAGGAAGGTAGATAATAGTTAGATTTTGCCTGTGTGGTTGTTGCGATTGTCGCTAAATTTTGTGTCTAGGCCTTGAGTTGTGCTTGTAATGTCAAAGGAAGTAAAGCATTTCGTGTTTGATGTCGAATAGTATAACGGTTGGTTTCCGATTTATTGGTGATCTCTGATTCGGCTACGGAGTTATGGATTCTGGTTGTAATGTGTATTTGCAAGTTTATAGGTGATTTTTAGTAGTGTTGCAATATAGGTCGGGTTATAGATATGGTTGGTTCCCATAGGAAGACTTTTTGTGTTTGCAAGTTCGAAGTTTTTTCAACTGGTCTACAAATTTTTCTTTTAGTTCGAGAAGCTTTACAGTCTAGTATCTTCCAAATGTCACTAAGTCTTTCGTACTCGAGGTACCTCCTTGGTTTTAAACTTCCAGTTAGCTTCTTGTGTCCCAAGACAACAAAATCCTGGGAATCAAATAATTATCTCATGGATAGCAATTATCCCTAGGAACATATCAGTTTATTGATGTCCAGTTGCTTTTTTGACAGTGGGTGGCCTTATGGGCTTTTTGAAGAGTGGCAGCCAGAAGTCACTGTTGGCAGGGGGAATATCAGCGGCCTTACTCTTTTATGTTTCTACTGAGCTTCCTGTAAGACCAGTGTTTGCATCATCTATCGGGCTTGGTAAGTGATCGTCGCAATCATCTCATTTACTTATGTTGATAGTTGCTGCAGTAGTTGATTGGTGGATTATGTTTGCTTGACATATTTCAATTGTCTGATGCCGCAGAATACAGACAATTCTAGGATATCCCTTTTTGCTCTTTGCAAGTGCAGTTGAGTTTCTTGATTTTGTTCAACCTTAACTAATTTACTAATTTTCATTTTCTCCTACCTCCAGGGTTGTCTGCTGCCCTCCTAGCAGTGATGGGTTCTCGTTTCAAGAAGTCAGGGAAGGTATTTCCAGCCGGCGTTGTATCACTTGTGTCACTTGTAATGACCGGTGGCTACTTACATGGAATTCTGCGTAGCGCACACTGAAAACGCAGAATGTAAGTTAGACGGCAATAAATATGAGTTTACCGTATGGTATTTTGGATCTTTCTTTGTGTTGTAAGATGTGGTGCTTGAAACTTCTTATGTTTTATCGACGATTACTCACTGTTAATTTTATATGCTTCCTCATCTGCTTGTGCATGTGTTTCCTTCCAGTATTTCCTATATTTCAGAGTAAAAGAAGCAATTTGTTGGCTGTGAAAATTGCTTGTGGTTGTGGTGTGCTCGAAGCTTCTGCCTATAATGAAAGTTCGAATCCAAGGGAGCAAAACAAAAAACTTCTTGAGTTGAATTCTACATTGCTAACCTCGTGGATAAGAATTTCATATGCTTTGCCGTACGGCACACCACATTGCTTAACGTGAGCAAGATTGTGATGTGCCGTGCGGCAAAGCATATGAGATTTTGCAGAACGAAGGAATTGCGTGAAATGGAATGCAACGCACTGAACCCCTCGATTGGGGACTCATACGGTACATGTTCCCACCGGAGCTTTAGTTTGAGGTTCAGCCACTGTGCCTAACCGTGCAAATTTGGTTCCAACACAAACTGCCGAACCGAGCGCAATTGATATACATTTCGGGGTGCCATAGAATACAAAGCGAACTTGGTTTTATTATAACAAGTAGCTTCATGTTCACCACACGACCGAGGCAACACAAATAGTTTGTCATTTGTTATAGTCAAGTCCACAACGTAATATAACATAACGAATACAATCAAACCGCCTCGGCATAAACAGGGGTAACAAGTTTACAAATTCTTCGTCACCAATCAAACACATAATTCATCGTCGACCACCAGTCTGTCATTCAGGGTTGTTTTTCAGTTTCAATCGACGGATGATTTATACACGCGCGGACCCGATTGCACAAACGGGCAATTTAAACACAACAGTTACTGGTTAAATGTACGTCTTTGCGAAGTTACTACACATGCTGAGTCATAAAATAGGATAGAATCATAGAAGTTCAAGCTGGCTAGGCAACCGAACTTGGTTGAGTTTCTTCCTGAACCATGGCAGATTGTTTGAAGCAACCCACACCCAGAGAAGCGTTATTGCTCGGATTAGTTTTTGCGTTGTCGACCATCGGTGTTGCTGGCGAAGTAGGATATGGACTGTTGCTGACCAACCTGCAAGAATGAACAAGGAGCAATAAAAACACAGTGATCGATGTGTAAACTGAGATGGCTGCATAGGCACGGTGACAAAATGAAAACCCATCACAGGATTTGGAGAGGGGGTACCTGTCACGTCGCTTCTCCAGGAAGCGCTGAAGAGAGTGTCTCCTTGCAATGGGAAACCCTGAACCAACAGAAACAATGAAGTGGGAACCGTGTAGCCATCATTAATAATCTCGTTAAGGAATTTACAATTATTGCATCGACATTACTACGTCTTGGTGAAGTATTGAATTCTTACCAGCTTCCAATTTGCTAATGGAACTCTTCTGATCAGGGTAGGGCTGGACAACTGGTGAACCAGGAGCAGAAGAGTTTTGCAGCGAAGACGACCCTGTACGAACCAGTGGACTTGGAGGACCGCTTGTCGCAGTATTCTTCACATCACTGGTCTTCTTATCAGCAGCAGCAGCAGCAGCAGCAGCCGCAATAAGCATAAGTTCACGAACCTATTACGCATTTAAGTGCATCAGTACAGAAAAACTCAAGTACGTAAATGACAGAGTTAGATGCAAATTGCTTAATGCTTACATTATTTAAGGACAGAAAAGAACCTACCTTTTCTGCAGTAATTGCGTCAAACACACTAACGCTCCCTGCGTAGAAGATGGTAAGCTGAGCCGGAGCAGGACTGGTAATGTTTAGTGTAGATAGTCCTTTCCTGGCACTCAAACATAAAGAACAACGACAAACCAAATTTCATGTGAGCCTAAGAAAGCGCAAGGCAAGGCTAAAAGCACTTTTGACAAGTAGAAGCACTTTTGACTACTTTTGTCAAAAAAAAAACTTAAAATTGTCTCTAGGTCATTGAAGCTTATTTTTACGAACACTTGAATTTTATAAAATTTTTGATGTTTTCGGGGAAGAACTGCCAAGTTGCCAAAACAAGTCAGACGCGCTTTTAACTCTTCCAAAAGCAGCCAAGCTCATAAAAGCACTTCTAGCAGACGCACTTTTGACAGAAGCAAACAAGCCCCAAATCTAGAGTTACAGTTAAAAGAAACAGAATTACATAATAACCAAATCTACTATATATTCTGCCTTAATTTCTTGTTTCCAAAACAGAAAGCACCACAAAGATCCAATTTCCTGCCAACCCAAAATTATGAAGCACAGTATGACAGCATGGGTTCGAATTCCATCGGTGGCTATTCTAATACCTAATCTAACAAAATCTATCGTTTGACAAAAAAATAAAAAAATAAATTATGAAGCACAAACACAATATACCAGCATCATAAAACTAACAAGCCAGATCAAAAACTAAATCACATTTATTTTTCCAAACTGCTACCCAACAAACTAAACAACGTTGGAAAATCCGATGGAAACAAACATGAACAGTACCACTCTGAAAGTTGCAACCGTGGAGGCACACAAATCCAAATTGACCTTATCTAAAACCAGAAAATTACAACTAGTGCAGCTGAAATTTCTTGTCTTTTGCAATAAAACCCCCAATAATTCGCAAAATAAATATCTTGTTCCAAACCACAGAAACAAAATCCTCCTAAACCCAAATTTCAGTCAAAGATTGACCCTTTCTTTCCAAACCCTTTTCATACCCATAATTCGTAGCAAAGTTGGCTAGAACAGAGTGCTCCTGAACATCCAAATTCGAAGTCACCCTTCTCGTAGTTTAAATTAATTAGAATATCGCTCGAATCAAAAGAGGGAAGAAAAAAAAAACCAACAAAAATAAGTTTCTAAATTTGCAATTTATACATAAATTTGAGATCACCTGAGGTTTTGCAGATCATCCTCTGTCTGGTTAGGCTTGTTTTGGGCAACCATTTCTTTCTCCATCTCTGAAAGCTTCACATCACAACCAACTTCTGCTTTTTCCTCCATTGCTTTTTCCTCACAGGTTGTTGCTTGCTTCACAACTTTCACAGAAAATATAGAGAAGCACAAAACAACTCATAAAAAAAAGGCCGCTTCTTCCCGTGGCCAACTAAACCTCTCTCTCAATTATTAATTAATTTTCACCATTTTTTTTTAAATTTCCCCACGTGTTTAAAGTCCAGATGCTTTCCTGCAATTCAAAACGTTAACGACAATGCCCTGGCGTTTGGAGTGTGCTGTACGTCGCCGTCGATGTTATCGTATTCGTGACCACATACGATCGTGTGGTCACAAATATGTTTCTACTTTCTGATTATGTGTGTTGTTGGGTTATTGCTTTCTCGGGGAAAAATCTTACCCGTACATAAAATGTTATTTACTTGAGATAAGCTACATGATATCTTTTAAAAGTAAAAGTCTTCATAGAATTTTCAACCTTTCATGTTTTTTGCATAATATTTTATAATATTAGTATAAAAATTATGCAAAAAATAAGAAGTGACAGAAAGTTCATAAAGAATCTCACTTTTGAGATTCTCTTTAGCATTTATTTATTTACTTTGCTTTTTTCTTACTTCTTTAAAGATTAGACTTGAACATTCACTTTTATTATAAAACCATCTTAGATTTTGATATTAACACTTAAAAAAAGTTATTTTAAAGTTAATTTGACTTGCGTTGCGTTATCCATCTTGTTAAGAAAAAAACGGTTAGAGTAAGAAATAGTAAATGCAAATTACAGACGGAATTTAAAAAACTTATTTAAACCAGTCTAATCTGATAGCTTCTTATTCACAAAAAAATGAAAGAAAAAAATACCCTCCTTAAGAGTGTAAATGTTTTTCTTTTACCTAGTGCCAATAACATCATAATGTACTTCTAATGATTTACTTAGAACTATTTGTAGTCAAATCACATTCTTTATTTAAAAGTTGAATTTTAACTGAAAAAAACTAAAAATTAATTGAATAGCTCTCTAAAAAACATTATAGTACGCGTGACGCTTTTAGTCGATCTCATTAATTTCTTTCACCTAACAAAAAATAATAATTTTAATCACATGTTATAATTTGCAAAAGAGAAATTATCATTTGCAATGTACTGGGTGGTACTATTCCCTTCTGAAAATTAATATTTAATCTGCAGAAGATCTGCACCGTCCAACACGTTGACTGTTCCGGACGGTTGTGATTATTTAGCATTTATCTCTCAAATTTAATCCTTTGAAACTAAAGTAAAAGAGAAAAAAACCCGGAAGCCAAACTCGGCGGGTAACCCGAAATCTGCCGGGTAAAGAAAAAGCCGAGTGAAAAAATGGAGATGCTCGGAGATTGATGGTGGAGGAAGCCATGAAAATTGAAGATTGACTCGGTCTGTATAAAAAATCGATCCACAATTTGCATGCGAGTGAATGGAGCCTCCGTCGTTCCAAGAAGCTCCGCGCTGTGACGTCTGCAAATGCAGCTTTAACGCTTTCAGGCGACGGGTACCCATCTCTCTCCCTACGATTTTTTCTTTTCTTTCAGAAAGTAATGGAATTTGATTAATTTAGGAGTACCCTTTTATTTAGTTCTCCTTCATATCGAATCCAGAAGGATCCCTTTACATAATTTCCACTGCCATGGCTTCCCATGCTTTATTGGGATCTCAAAGTTTAGAGTTTTAGTTAAATTTTTCCCAATTGGGTAAGATCAGAGCTGAAAATTTGATTTTTATGGCCATGATGCTTCTTTTATGATGATCTAAAACTGGGTTTTTTTTTTCTTTTCCAATTGGTATTATTGATTGATCATCTTGCCGCAAGTTACAACCTTTGAATCCAACTTAAGCATTCAGCATTTCTTGTTTGTGATTGTCACAAGCAACTTTAGAGTTAATGAACCCAAATGCTTATAACTAAAGTTACTATTTTTGGAGTAGTTTATTCAGCGCAGTTGATGCCCTTTAGCTTATGATTTATGCAGCATCATTGCCGGTCTTGTGGGCGGACATTATGCCACGAACACTCGGCAAACCAAATGGTGTGTTTGTTTTCCTTAAAGCTTTGTTTATCTTTGCAGCAAAGCTTCCAATTGATGAACTTTTAATGAGTGATCGTGTTTTTGCAATCTCAGGCTTTACCACAGTTTGGCATTTATTCACCCGTTAGAGTTTGCAGTGAATGTTTCAATGACTCCTCTCGGTAAATTACTCCTCATTGAACTTTTTAGAATACGCATACTTCTATACATGCTTGTTCAATTGTATATCTATATGTTTTGGCGTTTTTCATTCATCGAATCCATGACAATTCTAAGGGTAATGCTAGGGAGACTATCTTTTTAAACTAAATTTAAAAACCATTTGACGTGGTTGTTGATGATTGGATTATTACTCAAGTGTTGATTAACGTGCTTATTTCCTATTGATGTCACATCACATGGTTTGCAAATTTGGTCTACCTAGCAATATTCTAAATATATATTGTCTGTGATGTTTGTGAGTTCTTGCTGTGACTACTGGAGTTGATTGACGATGGAAATGAATCACTGGTTTCAGCTTGAAGACTCTTGAAATCCTATTTTTAATGAAAACTTAATTGATCTTGGTGAGCTAAGCTTGCAAATTTGTCAACCAACTTATGTAGTCGACTAGAAATAGAAACTCAAGGGAAGTTGCCACAGATGGCAACTCCCGGTAAAAAGCTACAGTTCAGGTTACATCTGATTGCCTTGGTTCTAAAGTTGGCATTGATTTCTTTCATTAAACAGTCAAGGAATCGCTCAGACGGAGAATGTATTTATAGGAGGAGATTTAAATGGACACGTGGGCAAGGAGACAGGCAACTATGGAGATTTTCATGGTGGCCATGGTTTTGGGGAAAGAAACGAGGATGGAGAAGCCATCTTGGATTTTGCAATGGCATATGCTCTCTTCCTAGCCAACACCACCTTCTTTAAGAAGAGCGAAGAACATGTGATCACCTACAAGAGTGGGTTGTCAAAAACACAAATTGATTTTCTTCTAATGAGGAAGGGGGATCGTATAACTTGTAAGGATTGCAAAGTTATACCGGGAGAGAGCTTGGCTAATCAACATCGCTTGTTGGTGATGGATGTACATATCAAAAGAGAGAGAAAAAAGAACAAGACCTTGAAATGCCCAAGGACTAGATGGTGGAATCTAAAAGGAGAAAAACAAGTCATTTTCAGAGAGAAAGTAATCACCCAATGCGTGTGGGATAGAGCTAGCCAAATGTGGGATTCCATGGCTAGTTGTATCCGAAAAGTAGCAAAAGGGGTATTAGGAGAGTCCAAGGGCTTTGCTCCACACCAAAAGGAATCTTGATGGTGGAATGAGGAGATACAAACAAAGGTTAAGGCTAAGAAGGAATGTTGTAAAGCCTTATACAAGGATAGGACCGATGAAAACGGTGAAAGGTGTAGAATAGCGAAGCAGGAGGCGAAGAAAGCTGTGAGAGAAGCTAAGCTAGCGGCTGGTAATGATATGTATAAGCAACTAGATACCAAAGAAGGAGAGTTGGATATCTATAAATTAGCTAGAGCAAGGGAAAAGAAGACAAGAGACCTAAACCAAGTGAGGTGCGTCAAGGATGAGAATGGAAAGGTTCTTGCTACAGAGAATGCGGTCAAAGACAGGTGGAGAGGTTATTTTCATAATCTTTTTAATGAAGGACATGAAAGGAGTATTTCTCTGGGGGAGTTTAGTAACTAAGAAGAAGATGCCAAATGAGTGGCGAAAGAGCACTTTGGTGCCTATCTACAAGAATAAGGGCGACGTACAAAATTGCATGAACTATAGGGGTATTAAGCTAATGAGTCATACAATGAAGCTCTGGGAGACAGTCATTGAGCATAGATTGAGGCAAGAGACATGGGTCTCGGACAACCAATTCAGGTTCATGCTAGGGCGCTCAACCATTGAGGCAATCTATCTCTTACGAAGATTGATGGAAAGATATAGAGATATGAAAAAGGATTTACTCATGGTCTTTATAGATTTGGAAAAAGCGTATGATAGGGTCTCAAGACATTCTTTGGAGGATTTTAGTGAAGAAAGGAGTACGAGTGGCATATATCCAAGTTATAAAGGTTATGTATGATGGAGCAAATACTGCTGTAAGAACTCATGAAGCACAAACCGAAAGCTTCCCCATAACGGTAGGGTTACATCAAGGCTCATCTTTAAGTCCTTACCTTTTTGCATTGGTAATGGATGAGTTAACGGGACATATTCAAGATGATATTCCTTGGTGTATGCTTTTCCTAGACGATATAGTGTTGATAGATGAAACTCAGGAAGGGATAAATGCGAAGCTTAACCTTTGGAGAGAAGTGTTGGAATCTAAAGGTCTTCGCCTAAGTCGGTCAAAGACAGAATATATGGAGTGCAAGTTCAGTGCAAATGGAGGCCCAAATGTGTTAGGGGTGAGGATCGGAGACCAGGAAGTACCAAAGAGCGACCACTTTCGCTACCAAGGATTTATCTTGCAAAAGAACGGAGAATTAGATAGAGACCTCAACCATAGAATACAAGTTGGATAGGATGAAGTGGAAAGGTGCATCCGGCGTGTTGTGTGACCGTCGTATGCCATTGAAGCTCAAGGGAAAATTTTATAGGACGGCAATAAGGCCGACGATGCTGTACAGCACGGAATATTGGGCGGTGAAGCATCAACATGTACATCAAATGGGTGTAACGGAGATAAGGATGCTCCGTTGGATTTGTGGGCACACGAGAAAGGATAAGATTAGGAATGAGGATATCCGAGGTAAAGTAGGAGTAGCCGAAATTGAAGGAAAGATGAGAGAAAATTGGTTACGGTGGTTTGGACATGTACAACGAAGGCCTACTAACGCTCCGGTTAGAAGATGCGACTACGGGACAGAGGTCTAGGGCCTAAGGGGTAGAGGAAGATCTAGGAAGACTTTGGAAGAGACTCTAAGAAAAGACTTAGAGTACTTGGATCTAACGGAAGACATGATATAAAACCGAGCGCAATGGCATTCTAGAATTCATATAGCCAACCCCACTTAGTGGGAAAAGGCTTTGTTGTTGTTGTTGTATTAAACATTCAAGGGCTACTGGTCTTTTAAGTAGTTGGTAATAAAGTATTGCTAGGCCTTCAGGGTAAGCTATAATGGAATCATGGAAAGGAAACCCTCTTTCAGTGTTTGAGTTTGTCCAGGGGTGAAGGTGCTTTAGTGGCAATAATTGGCTAATGAACCTGAAAAGGATCACGCAGGTGTACTCATTTGTATATCTTATTTACGTATGGAGATTCATGCCATGCCTTCCCCTACCTGTGCGTAGTTGTTCATGTACACTTGTACTTCTTACTCTTTCCTTATGCCCTACTGCTCAAAAAGTATGCTTAGTGAAGAATACTGAGCACTTTACAGGCTTCCACCCTAATCTGTGTTCCATTCTGATGTTGTTGTTATGCTACCCCACGGTGAATTGCTAAAGTTGGGACTTCTTGTCCTTTGGTCTTCTTCTCTCAATTATTTTTCCTTTTATTTTCTTTGAAGGAAACGAAAAATCTTTTCTAATATTGGGTCATTTTGGGTTTTGTTTTTGCACAGAACTACCAAACGTGACGGACAAGCTTCTTCGGATGGAGTTGATGGTGTAACATCTTCAGTTTCTAGATTGGACATTGATTCAGATGTAGATTCAAAGGCTGAACCAACTGTACAGTATCAGCCTGTCCCAACCATTTCAGACTGCAAGTGTGGAATGCCTTTATGTATTTGTGAAGCGCCAGTGCCATCCGTGGATGCAGCTCCCTTGCAGGTATAATTTTTCCAATTTCTTTGGATGTTGCTTCTGCACATTGTATTTATCTCAAGGTTATATTTTTGTTTGTGGCAGAGCAAAACCGTATCCACCCCTGCCCCTCGGCCGACTCCAAAACCAAAGAAGACAGAAACTGCTTTAAAACCCAAAGCTTCCACGTCTAATAGCAAGCAGAGGTTGGTTGCCTCTACGTTTTTGTTGCCATACCTGTAACTCCTGGCCTGACATAATGGATAATGGTTGAATCTTGATTTACTTTGTGATTTCTGTGTGATAAGCTCACAATGTAGACATGCAGTTATATTCAGAAAATGTAGCCATTTTATAATGACCATTCCCTCCACTTGTTTCTATAAACATTGATGTTCGTAAACAATAATGTTTCTGCATTATGCTTAACTGTAAACTGGCTATGTGGGATGTTGGTGCCAAAGTACACTGTGTAATGGTCTGTAATTATTTGTATAAACTTTGCAGTTCTGTCTTCAATCTTGGTCAAGCGAACAACGGAATTTCTGATAAAACCCGGACAGATTATGAAGCCAATGGGGAGGTATAACTTTTAAGTTTTCTATTTAGTCACCAAAGGTACAATCATGCAGAAGAAATTTAGTTGCTCTAGATTATGACTTCTTTATGTGCTTTTTTAGGGTACGAGAGAAGCTATAAAGAATAGTGACGTTGCTGCCGTCAGGAAGCTTCTGAGTGAGGTAACAGTTAGAGTAAAATTAATATCCAAAAAGTGGGTTTTATGTAACACTCTCATTTTGGCAGGGTGTTGATGTGAATTACCATGACAAGCAAGGACTTTCTTTGCTACATTTAGTATGTTCTCTCTCTCTCTCTCTCTGTTGTGTCTGTGCATGTACCAAATGGTTCCAGGGCTTATATTTCTTTTTGTGACACTAATGTCAGGCAGCGGTCTTTAATCAAACTGAGATTGTTTTTGTCCTCATGGATGGTGGAGCAAGCCTGGACTACAAGAATGCACAGGGTAATTTTTTTTCCCCAGTTTTCTTAGATTTTAAGTTGTTGCTGAACTTTATTTTGTAAGATAGCTAATAAAGATTACCAAGGCATGAGTGGGGAATGTCCTGTCGACATAATTTTTGTGTTTGAATGGTCGAATTGTGCTGCATTTAGCCTAGGTTGTATCCATCTGGTTGTTCTTTTGGTGAATCTCTCCGATCATCTGCCCAAAAGCTGGGATATGAGAGGTGGTGATAATAAGTGCACTTTGCTTCCCGAATGCAAGACACCATCATGAGTTGTCTTACCCCTTGCATAAAGGTGCATGTCTTACCAGCGTGGTGCGTACGCCCGTGGAAGTGGGGTGCATGCAGAGGGTACCTGTTTAGATGAAGTAACATAAATATCAATGTTATTTTGTGGAGTCATAGATGAAAGAAAAGTAATACAAGTATCAATGTTGTTCTGTTGAGTCATAGATGAACTTTTTCTTTCGCTCACATTTGGATTATAGCCGGGAACACTTTAGTAGCTAGTAGGCAACTTTTGCTCACATATTGCATCACTTGGTCACCACTTGACTGGCTCCTTCTTACACACAGGGGAAACACCATTGGACTGTGCTCCCGCCACTCTCCAATACAAAATGCGACAGAAGATGGAAGAAAATAGAAGACCGTGAGGACTATTGAGCGATGTATAACCATTTTTAAGATACGTGTGCAAGTCATTTGTTTCCGCTCGAGAAGTTTTTTCTGACATAGTACCTGATGGGTTTCTGTTATGGATTGTTATATATATATATGACACGCCTGGCAAAGGATACAATGCTACATTTTTGAGTGTCAATAAGAGATCTCTCCGATGGCATCGGAAATATCATCTTCTGTTTGTGATAGGGAAAAAGGGGGGATCACACTATCCTGGGTATTGATGCGAATTATGCCAATAAAGTTTTTGCTTTTGTGGTTATGGTATTTGGTGTTTGCTGCATCATAAACTGTTCTCAACTTTTTCTTTGGTAAATGGCCTTTGTTGTGACTTGTGAGGATGGAAGCAATAAAGCAACGATCATATGTGGGGTGCATTCTTATCGCTAATTGCAGTGAAAAGTAAAGGGGAATTTGGAAAAACTGTTGTACCTTGGTGGAATGTGACTGGGATATGGTGCATCAAAAGGTGGTAATCAAGCATGCAGATTGCAGAGGGTCATGCTCACGTATCATGAAAAAGCTATTTATCATAAGAAAAAATGTATCCACTTGTGTATTCTTGAATTTCAATAGTAGACTGTAAATGACACAAGAAATCGATATGACAAAGCGATTGTCAGCTACAATATAAGTGAATCTCAATACGCATTAACAGATGTGCGATTGATAGTTCATGTCGTTGATGTGAGTGATTATTAAAATGCATTGGTAGACGACTGTTATTTGTGTCATCGATGACAATTGCACACACAATCATTTGTATGCGGTTAATCTAATTGGGTTGATAGATTTGGATCTAATAATCTATCAACCACTAGCGATCATCCACGTACATGTGAGTGACTATTAATAATTGTCAACTATTGATGTAAGTTAGTTTTACAATGCATCAATGGCTAACTGACAACTATGTAGATGTCAAATACTAAAGTTTGAGTGATTATCAGTCATTAATATAAAGTGCAGGCCTTTTATCCAAAGGTATTCCTATTTTAGGTCAAAATGGGAATTAGTTATGGGATCATTCCACAACGATTTAAACTATCTATTTTTTAATTTGCATTTTATAAATAATTTTTGCAAAATATTTAGCCAAATTGAAAATATTTGAAGCATCTAAATGAATTCAAAGAAACTGACGAACACTATCTTCTATCAAACATTAAAATTTCATCATAACAATCAAATGATGACTTAAAAAATAAACAATTCGATGGTTGAAGTTCAATATATAATAAGTCCCACAACTTGTCTCGATTTTTTAAAACATGGAAATCCCTGCGAATTAAGACTCTGACATAAGTGAATTTAAAAGTAAAAACCCCTTTTAATAAAGGTTCTGATATAAGTGAATTTCACAACAGATCATGACTTGACACAAAGGATAAGACGACGGTTGCCACCCCATCTCACAATTGGTCATCAAAGCAGGTATATAAACAAGGGACGAAATTAAAAGAAAAAAAAAGGAAAAAAAGTTAGTTGTAATCTTATGGTCAGATCCACATGCTTTACCTTTAATGATGATGCATTACAAAACTTATATACTAATTCCACCTACCTAATCTACAAAACCAAACATAATCAAACCTATTTAAAACCTATGAACAACCGACCCTTCCAACTGACTCAGAAACGCACAAATCAATCCCCCAATAACGAATCAAAGGACAACGGTGACCAGTCAGCCAGTCGGTCACAATTTACAAAGCATAAAAGCAAACGGACCCCACACGCATCATCCTTCCACTTCACAACACACAAACCCACCTCTTTATAAAGCAGCTGGATGCCATTGGGAACTTCCCCTTTTCCTCCTCCTCTGCTTTTCTTCTCTTCTTCCTCTGCTTGCTCTGCATTTCTTCCTTCATATGGTTTCTTCGCTGCTCGCATTTGATCCGATGGGTTTCTTCGTCGTCGACGACGCGTCCTCGTCGGGCTTGATACTGAGCCACGTACTGTACAAAGCGGCTTTTGTAATTGCTTTGATGAGATGGGTTGTGTTCTGGGCGCTCAGACTCAGACAAACACTCTCCTCCTCCTCCGCTTCCTCCACCGCCGAGGAGGGATTTGATTTCCTACAGGCAGAGTACGATAAAGAATCTTGCTCCTCTTCTTCCTCCGCTTCTACCCAACTGATCAGGGACTGTCTGACTCAGACCACCTTCGGAGAAATCACAGAGCGGAGAGGGAGTTACGGAATCAACGGCGGCGGCGACTGCGACACGTGCGCGGTGTGCTTGAGCCAGCTGGAGATGGGGGACGAGGTCAGGGAGATGCGGAACTGCTGCCACGTGTTCCACACCGAGTGCATTGACAGGTGGCTCGAGTATAATGATGATCATCATCACCACCACCATCATGATAATCATGATGAGGATAATCAAAAGACTTGCCCGCTCTGCAGGACTCCATTGCTGACGTCATCACAGATACAGAGCCTGAGCTGGGATCACAGCAGATCGCAGCCCAGCTGGGCCGTTGAGAGACTGCTCTACCTTTTTGGGGATGATCTTGAGTTTTGATTTGTACAAGTATAATTTAACGTTATAGAGCCATTTTGGTTGAGCGAGGTGTTACTGTGTAAATTGTGATTCTTGATTAGTCCAAATTAATAAATAAATAGATATTTGTGAATTATATTGTAAGTTAAGTCAGTTAGTCGAGTCAGTGTTCTCATTTTTTAATCGATTTTTTTTTATTTTTTTACTAGCTATGATATTGTCTTGCACTCGAGTTCCAACTGATTATTATTATTATTATTATTTTAGAGGAATACGATATTTGATATTCATTGCAAGCAAAGCAATACAAGTATAAACTGACAACAAACTGAGAATAGTATGGCCTCAATGAAACCTTGTGAGAGCTTTCAATCTGATCTAAGGAAAAGGAGCGTCCCGCACAACGAAAGGACCTATCCCCAAATGTCAATACATAATCAAATTACAAGATATCCCTAAACAAATCAGGGAATCTTCCACCCACCAAACATGTAGCGTATAACCATTGCTGTGCTGTGAGCGTCAACCATGCAGCAAAGCATGCGACCATGGCTTCCATAGTCCTTTCCACACGCTTGCAAAACTAGCGTGAACCACCAGCTGAAAATGTCTCCAACAAATTGGAGGTAACTCGACGCTAAACGACGTAATCAATCTTCAGACAAGCGCTCTCCTAGAGAACCTAAGGAGACCTAGGAACCCTAGAGAGCAATTTTCCTAGGAAGACCAAGACTAAGCTATGAAAGCTAAATAAAACTAAAATTACATAAACCTCTCCCGAGGCGAATCAAAGGGAAATAAACCGAGAAGGGACCAACATCCGATGCACCCGGCCAGTGGGATGCAGGCATCCACTCACCGAAATACGAAACCGCACAAGCCAAAGGGAGCCACAACCAAATCTGGAAACCCCATCAGACCCAAATCAAGATAACCTTGAGAAGGGCAAATCCGGATATGGGGAGGAGACCCGAAATCACGGGATACGCGTGCAAAAGGTGGGGGAGAAAGCAGGGAAGGAAGAAACTAAAAGGGCCGGCGGGGTTGGCGCAAGGACGGGGAAGGATAAACCGGAAAGGGAAAGGGGTCAGGGGAAGGGACGCACAAGGGAGGGGGAGAGGGAGGTGGAAAAAAAAATCGGAAAAAAAGGCGAAGGGGGAAGGCTGGGTTGGGGAAGAGCAAGGAAGGGAGAGCTATGAAGAGGAAAGGAGGGCCTACCACCGGCCCCCAGCCATAGCCAGAGAACGGTTGTGAGGAGGGAAGTGGTAGGCGGCTAGGGTTTTTGGAATTAAGTTTCACAAATGTGAGGCAGCCACATCAGAACAAACAAGGATCTCAAATTTGACACGTCATCATTTAACGGTTTACTTAACAGATTTTCAAACGAATGTATAAAATCGAAATAAAATGATAAGTAATGTATGAAATTGAAATGTTTTAAAGATGATGTAAGAAATTGAAATCAATCTTAAATTTAAGGGGATAAAATGTAATTTACCCATAATTATTTCATTGAATTTAAAAAAACTAACCTTTTACATGGGTTACATGGGTCTTCTACATATGTGCCCCTCATTAGACCTATGATAGAGGATGTCAAATCTTTGCTGCTTTCGATCGCTAAAGCTACTGCATCCCACATCCGTCAGCCAACCCAATTCCGTAGCCCATAGTATTTAACTTTTAAATTCATGAATTCAATACTCTAAAGTCGCACTAAAAGAGAAGAAACAAAATTCATAAGGGTTGTAGAGTATGTAACAAATTTTTTAGTAAATATAACATTATATGTATGCGGTTTGGTTTGATTAGTCCATGATTTTTAAAAATTAAAATCATACTGATCTTTGCGAGTTTCTTCATGTGAATCAAATTGACAAACAAAAAATAAAATAAAATAAAATAATAATCAAACCGTTTGATTTAGCCAACTCTCCTATATAATTATAAGGTAAATTACGTTTTACCACCTCAGGTTTGAGGTCTATTTCAATTCCTTACAGCATCTTTAAAGCATTTCAATTTCATATATTTACTTATCATTTTATTTCAATTTCATACTTCCGTTAGAAAATCTGTTAAGTAAACCGTTAAGTAATGACGTGGCAAATATGGGATCCCCATTTGTACTAACGTGGTTGTCACATTTATGTCACGTGGCTAAAAACTTAATAAAATATTTAAAATATTAAAATAATTATTTAAACAAAAGTTAAAAAAAATTAAAATAAATAAATAAATAAACAAAACCATATCCCTTATCACCCAACCCTTCCTCCATCATCCACCCCTTCCCCCATCCCCCACCCCTTCTCCTACCCCACAACATTCTTTCTCTCGCATCACTCTCTCTCCCCAACTATCTCATTCTTTCTCACCACTCTCCCTCACTCGACAAAAATCCCGATCAATCAGGTCGATGAAGACCACCACCATCTCCGACAAATTTCAGACCACCAACACCGCCATTAAAATCTCTTTTTCCCCTTGAACTTATCTCTGACGTCAGTTTGGAGAAAAATGAACTCCAAACATTGATTCGACGAGCTCCGACACGGAGCTACTTTGCCGGCTAGTTTTGCCAGTGTACTGGGGGGGAAGGGGTGGGTGATGGGGGTGGGAGGGTGGGCATGAGTGGGGATTTGGGGAAGTAGGGGATTTGATTTTTTTTTTTTTTTAACTTTTGTTTAAATAACTATTTTAATATTTTAAATATTTTATTAAGTTTTTAGCCACGTGGCACAAAGGTGGCAGCCACATTAGAACAAATAGGGACCTCAAATTTCTCACGTCATCACTTAACGGTTTACTTAACAGATTTTTAAATGGAAATAAAATGATAAGTAATGTATGAAATTGAAATGTTTTAAAGATATTGTAAGGAATTGAAATCAATCTTAAACTTGAGGGGGTAAAATGTAATTTACCCATAATTACCCTTATAGCATTGTATTTAAAAAAACTAACCTTTTACATGGGTTACATAGGTCTTCTACGTAGTGTCCCTCATTGGACCTATCATAGAGGATGCCAAGTTTTTGCTGCTTTCGATCGTTAAAGCTACTACATCCCACATTCGTCGCCAAACCAATTCGTAGCCTATGGCTAGCCCGTTTTGCCCTCCATTCTGGAGGAGATAGTATATGGGTTGAAGAAACTCCCTCTTTGATTAGTGATTTAGTTGAGGAGGACAACTCCACCCCTTGCACTTCTTAGCCTATTCCTGGCTCTTTTGAAAAAAAAAAATATATATATATATATATATATATCAAAATTCATCAAAAAAAAAAAAAACTAATCGTTTACAATGAAAAAATAATTGAAGTCTAGCACATTGGCAAAATTATTATAAACTAGTATTTTAATTTGGCAAGGGAAAACATTGGGCTCGTTTGACATTGCTTTTAAAATAGTTGAAAACGCTTTTGGTGAAAGTGTTATTCACGCACTTTTTTTTTATTTTTATAATGAGTGCATTGATAGGTGATAGTGCAATTTCAGTCATTCAAAAGAATTCTCAAATGAACCTATTATTTTTTTTATGATTGAAGTACTATTCACACATTTACTTTTTTCCTCTGAGACACCTTTGTTAATTGTTGATCAAAATTGGAGAGGCAGGTGATAAGTGAAAATGTGTGGGTGACAATAGTACCCATTTCACAATGGGATCTTTTGATATAGGCACCTCAATTTTGAATTTTCTAGATCAAACATCCATGCCTTTTAGTGATTTGATTAAACTTTTTTTGTCATAATTTTGGTGCTATATGCACATTATATTGTAACAAATTTCCTATAATCTAGCCTTTTGATTACACTCTCTTCCGTTAGAGATAATTGTTAAAAAAAAAAAAAAAGTTGGTTAGATTCAATTTATTTTCACAATAATGCTACAATTTAGCAATAATTATCTACGATTGAAGATATTTTATTTTCAAAATAGTTTAAAATATTTTTAAATCCCCCAAAATCAAATGTACCGAAATGAGTTTTTCTTTTAGTACGTTAAAAGAAAATAGGATTGAGAATAGTATAAACGTACCAATACACAATGTGTACAAAATAAAATGTACCAAAATAAAAATAATGTACCAATATTAACAATATGTATCAAATCAAACGTACCAAATTGCAAATAAACGTACCCACAACTAATATATACGTAACATGTTGTACTTAATAATAATTCGTCAACAACTATACTTAAAAAAACAACAAAAAAAATATAATTTCACAAAAAATTGAAAAAATTACACGGAGCTTTTATGTTGATCACCAACTATTTGAAAAAAAGAAATAATATTAAATGTTTGCATAAAAAAAACATATTTGGAAGAAGAGAAAATATAGTTTAATTACTAAAATCTCCACTAAATAAGGAAAAATGCATCATGCAGATAAAAAGATAAATTCAAAATTTATTTTAATTTTAAAAAATAGAGGTGACTATTGGTCAAAACATTTTAATCAAATTTAAAAAAAGCATAGATGTTTAATCTAAATGATATAAAAAACTGTAAGATATTCTAATTTTTTCTTTCACAATTGACCCGGTTTTTAAACCGAAGAGGAGGAGGAACGACCTGAAGAGCAATTTACCAAATTCCAAGGGGTCAAAATCGAAATATGGTCTGAATCAGCAGCTTCCATTTATAATTTTCTACAGTTATACTTGCGCGAAAGTCTCAAAAGACACAAACCCGTCGTGGCAATGCTCCGGTAGAACGAGACCAGTAAACCAAATCAATACAAGCAGCGGTAGTCCAGAACGACGACGCATTAGATCTCGAGTATACAGTCGCATTGTGCTCGACTAGCTCCGCCTTTATCCCAATTCCCAGATCTCTGTTTCTGCGCTCTCGCCTCGCCAGTCTAAACGACGACGTCTTCGCATTTGTGATCATCTTCAAGACTTCAACGGTCAATTCGAACAAGGCAACGTACAATTCTCTCTGTCTCTGTCTCTCTGTCTCTCTGTCTCTCTCTGTCATTCAATCTTCGATTACCGTTGCACTTGATGGGTAATGGATCTTGGTATAATCCGAGTTGCAGACGTACGCTTTGGATAATTTTCAGAGATGGCGGGCGGCGCTGCTGGCGGTTTTGTGACGAGAGCATTCGAGTCTATGCTCAAGGAGTGCTCTCCTAAAAAGCATGCAGATCTTCAGAAGGCTATTCAGGCTTATTTAGGTTTCAGTCTGATTCCCTTGTGAATACACCTATACATACACATTGCGTATTCGCATGCATTTTTGGACTTTGAATGATCCGGTGTTCAGATTGGTTTCGATTTCGAGATTGTTGAATTGTTTGTTTTTTGTATTTTTAGTGTGAAATGCAGTAGTTTAGAGTTGGATGAAATCAAATTTTGTTGATGATTGCTTCGCGGGCTGGCATGACCGTATGATAGTATACTGTACGATAATGTCGGGAAAGTGTGAGCTTAGGAATGAGTTTTTGTTGGTTTTGTAATGCCTATATGTGTTTGATTTCAGCAAATTCTGGCATTTGGGAATGGTTGAATACTCAAATGTCTATTTAGGCTTTTGTAGCGTCAATGCGTGTGCTCGCTAATTTTTCTAAAGCTTCTTGGATTGGGAAACCAAAGCCTTTAGTTAGTATGTCTTGTTGATTTATTTTACTTCTGTTTATGAATGATCTTTCTTCCATTAAGGATCGGTAATCAATTTCAGTTATTTCTCTCCCTCACGTGTGTTTCTGTGTCTCTTCTCTTTAGATAGTACGAAAGAGGTCAACCAGACTCAACAAACCGAACCAAGTGAGAAGAATCAAGCTACAACTTCAGCTGGTGATGGAAGGTCTGTATTTGTTGTTCAACTATTAATCATTTTTTCTCCCTCTTACTCTGTTCCTGCTTTTAATAAGCGGACTTGCAGAATTTTTTTTATTATGTTTTTATGGGATTAATGACATGATCAGACGTTTAGGTCCACTATTTTTTACTTTTGGGATTACTCCTATTTTGTAGTTCTCCTGAAACAGAAGATGGAGCTGCAAAAACTGATACAGTGCCAGGTCAGTCTCAAACTGAGGAGGACAGAGTCCGTTGCCAAGCCGGTGATCACAACCACAACTATTTCAACTGTCCTAGCAAAGGCCGGGAACACCTTAGAAGGAGCTCAGGCAGAGCTTGTTTTGAATCCCCTACGACTTGCATTTGAGACAAAGAACTTGAAAGTCCTAGAACCTGCTCTGGATTGCATTCATGTAGGCATTTTCATTTCTTGATTTTATGATTTGTAGATTTAACATTATGTGCTTCAAGAAATTGATACTTTGCAGAATCCTTACACGAGGCATCAAGAAATTCATTGTCCGTCAGTGTCTGCATTCTTAAATGATTAGTCATTTGTTTGTGCTATCATTACGTATAGTTGTTGATTTTATAATTCGTGCACCTACCTCGTAATAGCTAACTAGTACTTCAAATTTCATAAGCACAGAAACTCATTGCATATGATCATTTAGAGGGAGATCCTGGTCTAGATGATGGTAAAAGTGTACCACTGTTCACAGACCTTTTGAACATGGTTTGCAGTTGCGTTGACAACTCATCACCTGATAGGTATGTGCCATGTGCATTGGTTGTTTTCCCTCAATATATGTGGTTTGTTATTCTTACTTATTTTGAGAAATGATGTGCAGTACCGTTCTGCAAGTGTTGAAGGTTCTTCTTACTGCCGTGGCATCCACGAAGTTCAGAGGTACGTTATCGGGGATGTTTGGGTATCAAGTATAATTTTTCTAGTTTAGTATATGACTTCTATAGTCTGCTCTTAGTTGGGCCTTTTATCCCTGTAAATGTACTCATGTGTACAGTGGTACTGGGTCCTTTCTATGTTTTATTCATCGTTAGTATGTGGATATGGTTTCTTGCTTTGCACAGTCATGCATATACAGTCAGCTTATATTTTGTCAATCACTGCATATGCATTTTTGGTAATGGTTCATTGTGCCTTTTTCTTTGCGGCAATTTTAGTGCAAGAAAATTTTCTTTTTATTTAAAACCTGTTCAAATGCAGTACACGGGGAACCTTTGCTGGGAGTTATCAGAGTGTGCTACAATATTGCTCTGCACAGGTAATTTTAAGTTTATATAAAAGATCCCATTTTCAAGTTCAAGCAGTGCTAATGTAAGTTTGGGCTTGTAGCAAGAGTCCCATAAACCAAGCAACGTCAAAGGCAATGCTTACACAGATGATCAGCATCATATTCAGGAGAATGGAGACTGATCCGGTATGGATTTGAATTTTCAGTTCTGAATGCCTTTATCTGTAGTCTCTCATACAACTGTACAGGAGAGGCATACATTTTAGTTGTTTTACCCTTTATTCTAGAAAGTTTGTATATTCTTGCAGGGACTTGAGGTTGCATCAACTGGTTCTGTTGGACATATAGAAACCATTTCAGGACAAAATTCAAATACAGAAGCTGAAGAAACTTCCTCAGGACAAAGTGAGAAAGAAATGACTTTAGGAGATCAACCTAACCAGGTCAAAGATACGCCCATTGCATCTGTTGAGGAACTTCAGAATCTAGCTGGCGGTGCTGACATCAAGGTACATGTTTTTCTTTATTTATCTATGTTGTCAAGAATTTAGCAGTTTAAGAAGCTGTGTTTTCCACAATTACTATGTATCCCCATTCTGGCTATTTTATGTAGCCCAAGTTTTCTTTTTACTAAGATTGTCGCTTCTATTTTGTTTAGGGCTTAGAGGCTGTCCTGGACAAAGCTGTGCAACATGAAGATGGTAAAAAGATAACCAGGTTTGGATATGATTTTATACTTTAAGATATCTCTTTCTTAGTTCAATATACACCAAATGCTTTTTACATTAGATTGCTCATAACTTATTGTAATTTCTTGTAGAGGGATTGACCTCGAGAGCATGACCATAGTTCAACATGATGCTTTACTGGCTTTCCGCACGCTTTGCAAGGTTGGCATTTTGAGCAATGTTTTCTAGCTGTCGACAGAAATTCCTAGCCTCCTTCATGAATCTTAAATTTATTGTTTGCAGATGGGGATGAAGGAAGACAACAATGAAGTTACTTTGAAGACAAGGATTTTGTCTCTTGAGCTCTTGCAGGTTATATTAGTGATTTAATTTGTGCTTGTATGTGCATGCTTTATAGATGGATGCTTAACATGAAAAAACAGGCGATATTGTTAAGTAACCGAGAGTAGTATTTAAAAGACAATGGAAGGAAAAAGAGTGATTTGGGAATGCCGAATATGATTTTTTATATGCTTAAGGAGCATTCTTGATATTTATGTGCACTGTTTTATAAATAATGTAATTAATTATATGGTATTTCAGGGTTTATTGGAAGGGGTTGGCCATCCATTTACTAGGAACTTCCATTTTATTGACTCGGTGAAAGCATACCTATCATATGCTTTGTTGCGGGCTTCAGTTTCACAGTCTCCTGTCATATTTCAGGTTTACATAATATCTTTCTTCCATGCAATTTTAGTGGAGTATGCTATGAGATTAGTGCTTCTGATTACGCGTTTCCTTCCTGCAGTATGCAACTGGAATTTTTTTAGTGCTATTGTTGCGCTTCAGAGAAAGCCTCAAGGTGGGTGTATGATTTTGACAAATAGATGCAAAGCTTACCTTGAAATCTTCAGTTCCTTACACCAACAAGTTTTGTTCAGGGTGAAATAGGCATCTTCTTTCCCTTGATAGTTCTACGATCACTGGATGGCTTGGATTTTCCAATTAACCAGAAATTAAGCGTTCTTAGGTATATTGTCTTCTCTGGTTGTTACATTTGTAGTATTATGCACATGTTATTCTCATTTATATTTGGTGGCAATGGCATTCACTTTCAACACGTCTTAGCAGAACCTCATGATTCCTTATTCCTTATCTGGTCTTCTAACAAGGTTTTGCTTTGCAGGATGGTTGAAAAAGTTTGCAAGGATCCTCAGATGCTTGTTGACATATTTGTGAACTATGATTGTGATCTTGAGGCACCAAACCTGTTTGAGCGTATGGTACAATTTTACATACTGTCTCACAATCTTTTTCCATCCATTTTTTTTTTCTTGTTCATCTAATACATCTGCAATGTTTTCTGATTGTTACTATAGGTTACAACTCTATCCAGAATTTCTCAAGGGACTCAAAACGCAGATCCAAATGTGGTTGCTGTATCACAGGCAACCTCAATTAAAGGTTCATCTCTTCAGGTAGGTTTAGCAATTTACTCTCTTCCCAGATTTATCATAAGTTTATTCCTGCTAGATATTCATTGATGGTACCAGAGGTTGCTGGATGACCCCTTTTTCCTTGACCTTGCCAGTGTCTCGTGAATGTGCTTAAATCACTAGTTGATTGGCAAGAGTCGCGTGTAGAATCAGAAAACCAGAGTAATAAGACTCGGTCTCTATATGGTGAAGCTAAAGAATCTGTTGATGTAACTAGTAACTTTGAGAAGGCTAAAGCTCATAAATCTACATTTGAAGCTGCCATCTCTGAGGTAATTAATCTGTATCAAATTTCTTAGCTTGATTAACCTGGATAATATATATTTTCATATAATTATTATGTTTTTTCTGAGAACTGATTTGTTGCTACTCTGGAACTGATTTAGAACATGAATAATAATGCAGTTCAATAGGCAACCAGTAAAGGGTGTAGAGTATCTGAAATCAAATAAATTGGTGGAAAATACACCCAGTTCAGTTGCCCAATTTTTGAGAAGTACTCCCAGTCTGGACAAGGTGGAAGCTCTGTTCTTATATATGTTGCTTTTTCTACAAAGATACAGACTTCTTAGTACTTGAATGAATTTTTTTTTTTTTTTTTTTTTCAGGCTATGATTGGGGAATATTTGGGTCACCATGAAGAATTTCCCCTTGCTGTGATGCATGCTTATGTAGATTCCATGAAGTTTTCAGGAATGAAGTTTGATACTGCAATTCGTGAACTTCTTAAAGGATTCAGACTTCCAGGGGAAGCTCAAAAGATAGATCGCATCATGGAGAAATTTGCAGAAAGGTATTGGGGGTGTCTGAATTTTTTGTTGCTGTCAGTTTCCTTAATTTTGTATATAAATGGATACTGAGTATGCTTGCATGCCCATGTATATGATTCTAACATATGTAATTCATGTATCCCTTGTAAATGTGTAAAATCTAATTTCTGACTGAATGTGATTCAGGCATCCACATTGTACTGAGATTATATGCCATTTTTATTGCTTGCCATGTTTAATGTGTTGCATGTGCAGATATTGTGCAGATAATCCAGGTCTTTTCAAAAATGCAGACACTGCATACATTTTAGCATACGCGGTTATAATGTTGAATACTGATGCGCATAATCCAATGGTGTGGCCAAAAATGTCCAAGTCAGATTTTATACTCATGAATGCTGTGGATGATGCAGAAGAGTGTGCTCCAACTGAACTTCTGGAAGAAATCTATTTTTCAATTGTTAAAGAAGAGATAAAGATGAAAGATGAGACTGCTGGTCTTGAGAAAAGTGGAAAATATAAGCGAGAAGGTGAAGAGAGAGGCCGCCTTGTCAGTATCCTTAATCTGGCTCTTCCCACAAGTGCGCTGTCCGTTGATACTAAGTCTGAAAGTGAAGCCATCATTAAGAAAACACAAGCTATATTTCGGAACCAAGGAGCAAAAAGAGGGGTCTTCTATACTGCACAGCAGTTAGAGCTAGTAAGGCCTATGGTTGAAGCTGTAGGTTGGCCTTTGCTCGCTACTTTTTCTGTTACAATGGAGGAGGGTGAGAATAAGTCGAGGGTTGTTCTCTGTATGGAGGGATTGAAAGCTGGAATACACATTACACATGTTCTCGGAATGAATACCATGCGATATGCCTTTTTAACATCTCTGGTCAGGTAAAACAGTCTCGTGTTTTCTTCTGCCAAATGTTTCCACATATTTGCATCTATTTATTTTGTTGTTTCTGTTGCCATTCTAAGAGTGTGTGTGTGTGTATATTATATTTATGTATTGTGAAAAATATGTATTTAACGTGGAAAGAATTGTGTTGTGTATCACACTTTTGAAATTGAAGCAAACTTCATCTAATGCTAATTGAGCTTTGGATTTTGGATCTCAGATTTACTTTCTTGCATGCTCCGAAGGAAATGCGTAGTAAAAATGTGGAAGCACTGCGAACTCTACTATCTCTTTGTGACTCAGGGACTGGCTCCCTTCGAGATACATGGAATGCAGTTTTAGAATGTGTTTCTCGGCTTGAGTTCATTACTTCAAATCCCTCTATAGCAGCAACAGTCATGCAAGGATCAAACCAAATCTCCAAAGATGCTCTTCTTCAATCTTTAAGGGAGTTGGCTGGAAAACCTTCTGAACAAGTATTTGTGAATAGCGTTCAGCTTCCTAGTGATTCTGTAGTGGAGTTCTTCACTGCACTCTGTGGTGTATCAGCTGAAGAACTAGAGCAAACCCCAGCTCGTGTGTTTAGCTTGCAAAAACTTGTTGAGATCAGCTACTACAACATGGCTCGTATACGCATGGTATGTTTTTATCTATCGAAACCTTCATTTTACTTGTAAGTTGGATGGTGAATCTTGAGAAGTCTGTTGCTGGTAGTCATGTGATGATCTATAGTAAATTGACTAATGTCCTTTATTGACCGTTGGATGCCCTTTGCACCTTTGGATTAAACAATAGAAGTTAGCCCTGTCTCATCTCATGAAATCCCCCATTCCTCTTGGGGGTTGGATAATATCCTTTGTTTCTTGCACAATCAGTTTCTTTTTGCAACAGAAAAAGCTGGCACCATGGGTCAATGTTTTTAAATGTAAACTGTGGGCCACTTGCTTATTAAAAATCTAAAACTTATCGGCTACTATGGCAAGCTTAAGGAAAATCTGGATATTCTTTGTCCTTTATTTCATTTAGTTTAGTTTCACATCAATATATGAACCCCAGCCTACTATCTTGGATATTTGATTGGTTCTTTTCGTTGGATAACCCTAATTTACCCTTTGATTGGGTTTTGTATTATTTGATTGGTCCATAGATTAAGCCTCACACCTTGATTTGGTCACTTCAAGCATTCCTATGTTGGCATGAATAGCTCAGTTCATACTTGAAGTTGTTCACTAAGGAAATTGATTCATGACGTGTGAAGTGTGACTTAGCCTAAGGTGTTTGTTAGCATGAAGATGACCATCATTAACCGCATGTCATGAAGTGTTATTTTGTTTTGTGCTTTGGTTATTTTTATTTTCTCCATATTTTGAATGTCTATTAATGCCTTACAGGTCTGGGCTAGAATATGGTCTGTTTTGGCAAACCACTTTATTTCAGCTGGGAGTCATCATGATGAAAAAATTGCTATGTATGCAATAGATTCCCTGAGGCAGCTTGGTATGAAGTATCTGGAGCGGGCGGAACTTGCCAATTTCACATTCCAAAATGACATTCTTAAACCTTTTGTTGTTCTTATGAGCAATAGTCGAAGTGAAACCATAAGGAGCTTAATAGTTGACTGCATCGTTCAAGTATGTGTACATAATTTACTTTCCTGATTGCACTCCTTTCTTCTTATTAACCTTTTCAGTATACAACTATCCTGCTAGACTGCTACAAACAAAATTGATTCTGTTGCCTTTTTCAGATGATAAAATCCAAAATAGGAAGCATCAAGTCTGGATGGCGTAACGTTTTCATGATTTTTACAGCTGCTGCAGATGATGAATTGGAATCAATTGTTGAGAGTGCATTTGAAAATGTAGAACAGGGTAACAATTTCTCTTACATTTTTTCATTGCATATTTGATGTTTTTTCTCATCTTCACATTTGTGGTATATATGATATGGTGAAATTTGCAGTTATCTTGGAACACTTCGATCAAGTAGTTGGAGATTGTTTCATGGACTGTGTCAACTGTCTTATCAGGTTTGCTAATAATAGAACTTCACACCGTATAAGTTTGAAGGCTATTGCACTATTGCGCATATGTGAGGATCGTCTGGCAGAGGTTTGTTAGTTTTTTTGGTTTACTGCATGTTGAACCTATCATTTGTATATTAACATAGTAACATTTCCTCTGTGTGAATGCCTTTTCATTCATTGCATGTTGCTTTCACATATGTCCTTCAGCATTTGTGTTTGCCAGATACTGTAAATAATTCCTGAACTATGTTAGAAGTAAATTGAATCCATAAAAGTTCAGGTGAAATTTATAAATTGAAATGATTGGGTTTGACAATTTATCTTATAGAATATTCCAATTAGCTTTGTTAGGTTGTCAGTATGACATGACACAGCAGGTGGTTAAGAAAAAAAGAAGAAAGAAAAAGGGTTACTTAGCTTTTTAATTTACTTTATTGATAGTCTGGTGACTGGCTATTTAGCAAAAAGAAGAAGAAAAAAAACACTCAGCACTGTTCTTGGGTTTCTTTTCTGTGGATGGTGGTGGTGGTTGTGGGTTGGGTTGAGATCTGTGGTTCGATGGTGTCTTCCAACTTGCTTGTATTGATAGCTTGTCACGTTGCTATTGAGATCTCTTCGTTTAACGCTGGTCAATTTATTTCAGGGTCTTATACCTGGTGGTGCTTTGAGGCCTATTGACGTAAATGTGGATACAACTTTTGATGTGACTGAACATTACTGGTTCCCAATGCTGGCTGGTCTGTCTGATCTGACATCAGATCCAAGACCAGAGGTCAGAAGCTGTGCGCTTGAAGTTTTGTTTGATCTACTGAATGAGAGAGGTAGCAAATTCTCATCAGCATTTTGGGAGAGCATTTTTCATCGGATCTTGTTTCCCATATTTGATCATGTGAGACATGTTGGAAAGGAAAGCTCGGTTTCCTCTGATGATGTATGGTTCCGTGAAACAAGCATTCACTCGCTGCAGTTGCTTTGCAACCTTTTCAACACGTTTTATAAGGTAGTTTGAGCTAAATACTAGATGTATAAGGTGTATTAGACCATTGGTAAAAAAATAATAATAATAATGCAGACTGTATTATCATATCTCGGTTCTGGTGGTAAAAAATATTAAAAATCTTTAGTGCATTTTGAAGTTGGTGTTCCAAAGATTTATCGTGTAAATGTGGAAATATTTCGTTTGTGCAGGAAGTATGTTTCATGTTGCCACCCCTACTCAGTCTACTTTTGGATTGTGCCAAAAAGACTGATCAAGCAGTTGTTTCATTATCTCTGGGTGCACTTGTGCATCTCATTGAAGTTGGAGGACATCAATTTAGTGAGAGCGACTGGGATACATTGTTGAAAAGCATAAGGTCTGAATTACTTATTGTCTTGTATATTTCGTGGTTGTTCTAACTTCTAATACTATTCTTTTTATTATGACAATCAGAGATGCTTTGTACACAACGCAACCACTTGAACTGCTAAACGCTTTGGGATTTGAGAATCTGAAGAACAATAATAGGGTGCCAACCGGACATTTAGAGGTCAATTCAGGTGATAGCCCTTCCATAAAGTCTGATTATGAGGGAGTGGATAGCCGTCAATTTGAATTCAGTGATAATGGAAGAAATCCAGTATCGGTTAAACAAAACTCGGGGGTGCAAATGAACACGGATGGATCTGAAGGTCAGGTTTTAAGATGTGTTTACGGTAGTTTGCATTTATAAAAAAATATGCTTCACAGAACTCTCTAATTACTGATTACTACAATTTATTTCCTCTATTAATAGAACCTAGAGAGTCAATATTTGTACTAAAACTATGATTGATGGAGATAAGTTCTACTGTAGGCCTTCCATCACCATCAGGAAGTGCTTCAAAATCTGCTGAAGGTCGAAGCCTCCAACGGAGTCAAACAATAGGTCAAAGGATTATGGACAATCTCTTTCTTAGAAATCTTACTTCTAAGCCTAAGGCTATTCCATCCGAGGTTTCAGTACCATCTTCTCCAATTAGGGTATGATCATATGATGTAGCATGATATTAATTTCTGCAGGATTTATAGTTCATGCTGTTAGGCCACAGAGCATCCAGATTTAGTGGCTATTTTATGTGTATATATGCTTCCGGATTTCCATGCCTTTATGATGTGTTTGATTCTTCTGCTGCATTAGGTGACTGAGGCTGTCGAACCTGATATCAGAGATGAGGAGGAAAGTTCACTGTTGGGAACTTGTAGGGGCAAATGCATCACTCAACTTTTACTTCTTGGTGCCATTGATGGTATTCAGGTTTGCATTTTGGATTTTTTTTTTTGGATCACATTTTTGTCATTGGTTTCTGTAAAGAAAGTCTTCGAGAACTGTTTGCCTAATAAAATCGCTTGCAATTTGCAGAAGAAATACTGGAGCAACTTGAAAACACCACAAAAGATCGCTATTATGGATATTTTGCTGTCTGCATTAGAGTTCGCAGCGTCGTACAATTCATATACCAATCTCAGAACACGCATGCACCAAGTTCATGATGAGAGGTAGGATTAAATCTTGTAGGCAAATTATTTTCTTTTGCTATGGAATTTTCTTCTTGAGGACGATAGTTTGTTGGACAAAAGAACATAGTTTGTGACGATTTCATCTTTTGGACAGGCCACCTCTGAATCTTCTCCGCCAAGAATTAGCAGGAACTTGTATATATCTGGAGATCTTACAGAAAGCAACCTCTGGGTTTAGTGCTGACAAAGAGGGAGAAACTAATGGTGAAGAGAAAGTTGAAGGATTAGCCGAAGAGAAGCTGGTGTCTTTCTGTGAACAGGTACTCAGGGAGGCATCTGATTTGCAGTCCAGTCCTGGGGAGACTACTAATATGGATATTCATCGGGTTCTGGAATTACGATCTCCAATAATTATCAAGGTATAAAGAGCCATTTGGACTATTTAAACATATTGTTAAAATCTAGAAGCCACAAAATTTTCGTGGTTTAGTGAATTCACCTCCTTGTGCTTGTTTAATGGACAATATTTTACGGGATCAGGTGCCCGTGAGTTTTGAATATTTGCAGTATTAACAGGTGAATATTTGCTCGCTGTTTTGGTTTCAGGTGATTAAAGGCATGTGCTTTATGAACCAACAGATTTTCAGACGGCATCTTAGAGACTTCTATCCGTTGCTTACAAAACTCGTATGCTGTGACCAGGTAACTAAATTTGACATTCCATGTTCTTACATCATTTCATTACTAATTAGAGATTATGATATGTTACGGGAAAACTTATATTTGCTTGATTCATTCAGATGGACTGTTCGCGGAGCTCTTGGTGATCTCTTCAGGGCACAATTGAAAGCACTTCTGCCATAAGCTACTTTCCCCGTGTTGCCACTTTCACGAGAGACCCAGTAGAAATGATTTTCGACATCACTGCTCCATACGCTGAAGGTCTAATTTTCATTTTACCCGGTAAATTTTGTCGTAACGGTATAATGTAGAGTTAATAGGAAAGTAAAAAAAAGAGAGTAAACATGTTTGTTTTGCATCGGCCTCTTATTGTTCAAAATCATCTCCTCCTTTTTTGGTTGTGGTGTAATTTAAAGTAACAAATGATTAGTAGATTAATTACAAACATCATTTGTTTACGTTGTTTAAAGTGCTTTTTGGAGAAGCACCTGCAAGCACTTTTTCAAAAATCATTTAAATTTTAAATTTGTTTGACATGCTTCTAACAAAAGCATTTACAACTAAATCGCTTATGAGCATAAGTGTTTTTTACAGAAGCGTTTTAAGACGACCCTACAACAAAAAAAACACTTTTTATTTATTTATATTATTTTATATCTTTTCAGTTTTCACAAAGCGAGAATAATTCGAAAGGGACTTTTCCCCATGCAGTTGGGAAAAATGCATTGGACAGACATGCCAGTTGGGAAAAAGGCATTCCTTCCATATGGGTTTTTCGATTCCCATCCGGGAAGTACTTCGCACAAAAAATGTTGGTTTACAACAAGTTCACTCTATTCCTTTCCCTCCCAGAATCCAGTTTTCCAGTTAAACGTTCATCTGATTCCATCCCCTTCCTCTCATAAAAGGACATTTTCGAGCCGGTAGAAATATGCTCGAAAACACGAAGATTGAGGGTAAGGGGGCGTAAGCAAAACATGGGTTTCCATTTCCAGTGCTTGTGGGTTTTGTTGCTCTGCTTAACCGGCGAAGGGTTGGTGAGAGCGTTGCAGGGTGCTGGTGGCTTGGCATGCAACTGGGGAACCCGTTCGACACATCAGTTGCCGCCTAGCATTGTCGTCAAGCTTTTGAAGGACAATGGCTTCAGCAAGGTGAAGCTGTTCGAAGCTGATGTCGGGGCATTGCAAGCTCTAGGAAGGTCTGGCATCCAGGTGATGGTGGGGATACCTAATGAGTTCTTGGCACCACTCGCTAGTAGTGTTACTGTTGCTGAGAAATGGGTGTCTCAAAATGTATCTTCCTACATATCCAAAAACGGCGTCGATATAAGGTAATGACTCAAAATATTCGTGCTCGTTTTTTCATATACTGAAATTCCGAACTCTTGTCATGAGTGTGAGGTTAAATGCTCTTATACAAGGGTTCCACACAATTCTATGCTGGCCCACCTAATATCGTAGAGTTGCATTTTTTGCGAGTGTGGTCCACCTGCCGAACACAAGAATTTCTCCTATGTCATGTACGGAATAACTGCAAAAGAAAATAGTCACACCTAACCACTAAAAGGAACATCCTCTCTAATTTGAAATTGAATTATTTTTCACATGTGAATCTATGCAGGTATGTGGCTGTAGGCAATGAACCTTTCCTCCAAAACTACAAAGACACTTTCTTGCATACCACGTTTCCAGCACTCCAAAACATTCAAGCAGCCCTCATAAAAGCAGGGCTAGGGAGACAAGTGAAGGTGACGATTCCCCTAAACGCCGACGTTTACCAGACTGACAGCGGCCTTCCCTCCGGAGGCAACTTCCGGTCTGACATCCACGCCCTCATGATGTCCATCATGAAGTTTCTAAGGGACAACAATGGTGTGCTCACCATCAACATCTACCCTTTCCTCAGCCTCCAAGCCGACCCCGACTTCCCGAAAGAATTCGCCTTCTTCAACAACACCGCGAAGCCTGTTGTCGATGGCTCGATCTCCTACACCAACGTGCTTGATGCCAACTTTGACACCTGCATTGCCGCCCTTGAAAAGAACGGCTTCTCCTCATTGCCTGTCATTGTCGGAGAAATCGGATGGCCAACGGATGGTGACCCTAACGCCAACATACAAGACGCCCGGCGGTTCAATCAAGGCCTTGTAAACCGAATTCTTGCGGGACAAGGCACCCCAAAGAGGTCAACCGCGCCGGAAATTTACATATTTGCACTCATAGATGAAGATGCCAAGAGCGTTCTGCCCGGGAATTTCGAGAGGCATTGGGGGATGTTCAATTATGACGGATCAATCAAATACCCATTGGACATTGGTAGCGGAAAATCTTTGGTTCCGGCGAAAGGGGTGCGATATTTGGCCAGACAATGGTGTGTAATGTCGCCCGACGCGAGCACTTCCGATCCAAATTTAGCTCAAAGTGTCAACTACGCTTGCACTTACGCAGATTGCACAAGTCTTGGATATGGATCTTCATGTGGAATGCTTGATGCTAAAAGCAATGCCTCTTATGCTTTCAATATGTACTTTCAAACCATGGACCAGCGCAAAGGTGCTTGCAACTTCTCTGGTCTTTCGGTCACTACAAATGTGGATCCAACTCCGACTCAGAATGGTCAGAGGAGTTCGTGCCGGTTCGAGATCATGATTGATCTCAGGAAGCACGAACCGGCTCGACGGTCTCCTGCTTTGCCGGCTGCCGGGTTGAGAGAGCAGAGCTCCTACAAAGTTATGATGGGGTTACTTGTACTTGTTCTAGTGTCCACATTGATCGTCTAATTTTTCCCCACCACTTGTATATTTTAAGGGTTGCTTTGCATTACATCAATGTTGATTTTTTTCCTTGATTTGTGTTCTTGCCATTATAAATCCCCTTTCTATTGAATTGACGTTGTTTTATAAATTAGATTAGCTAATTACATTATATGACGGTTCAACTAAAAGTTGACTTGCTGATCGAACAAGTACGAGAAAATCTTAACCATCTTTAGTTAGATGAGAAATTCTTATATTTTGCTTATGTGTCTAGATAAAGTGATTGTCTGACCGCACACGCTAAACACTCGCTAACTCTATTGTGTTTGCTGCACTGTACAAGCCTCTCGACCCAAGACTTTCTCTCAATTGTAGATATAAGGTAATTCACCTGATTACAAAGCTTATTCTCTAAAAAAGTACATGTTAGATATTACATTACTTTAACAAATGAACACTATAAAAAAAAACGACTTCAAGCCAACAAGTTTCTTGCGGGGGTGTGTAAACAGAGAGGTAATGACAATTACAAAGTTACTAATCTAGTAGCTGGTTAGGGTTACTCTAAATAAACACGAAATAACATCAATTTTCATATCCGAAGCAAAATCCAAAATAAGACTCCTTTTCCCTTCAATGGCCAAGAAAACAAAAATGAAGCAACAAGAGGAAACGAAAAGAAAAGATAGAGCTGGCCCACCACCAGCAGAAAACATGGAGACACAATCAGAACCGTCAGATCACATTCGTGTGGGTCCCATGCTCGATAAACACAGATATGAACAAAGAAAGTTACAAGGGGGATGGAAGGAATCTACTTCTACTTCCACAAATTGAATTATAAAAAAGAAAATCGGAAATCAAGGCCGAGTTTCCGCTTTAACCACTAATTAATCCTCTTAAATTGAAAATTACTATAAAACTAAACAAAGAAAAATTAGATTATTTGCCAAATTTATAGGGTTGGATCGCAGCTCCTGTGAAACAAACAAGGCGGAGATAGCTTCCAATTTCCATGCTTTATATGAAATTACGTGAATATTCTTTGGATATCACCTTCCCAACCTCGTGGATCTCGTGGGCGACTCACAGGAATCATCCCCCTACGTTTTGGGAGTTGGGAATTTCCCAAATCGGCAATTTCTAGGGTTTATGCTGCAATCTCTGTGAATGTTGGGGTCTTGGGTGTGAGGGGCATTTGGGGATCGTTATGTTGTTGTTGAGAAGGCAAGGCGTCGATCGCTTCCTCTTTGCAAGCTCAAAGCACCGACCTTTGCTCCTCCATCGCCGCCAGCACCTTACAGGGGCCATGGCGGCTGCTTTTACGGGTAGCCATAGTGGTTGCAGTGGGTTTCATTCCCAAGCTCAATGGCCGCCGTCCCATTTTTCCGCGGACCATTCTTGCAAGTTTGCCAATTTTCCGGGGAAAGCTGGTACTTTTCCTGGGAATCTGAGGAATACAAGCATTGGATGCAATTTTGCTGTGAAGGGGTGCTTGCAATCTCAGCATCATCCCCACCATCAGTCTCATGGCAATAGCATTAAGCGTCATCCCAATGCTCAGTTGGTTCGTGATCATGAACTGGAACTCCGCAGCCCGGATGCTGTTGGATTGGCCTCCTCAAATGGTTGCCAGGAGCACGGAGGCCGGTCCAGAATCCCACACCATCCTTTGCCCGGTGATAAAATCATTGTCGCAGTCGATGTGGACGAGGGTATAAATTTATGTGCATTGAGTCTCATTCTCTGTTATGATCTTTGTGTTGTCTTCCATATTTGCCAACTAGGGTTTGTCTTGATTTAACAATATGAGAGAGTTTGGGAGTTGTGTATTAGCTGATATATGGTTGTTATTGTTTGAATGCTGTTTTTGGTGAGCAGTATTGGGAAACTTTGTCTCGGCTCTCAACCGGTTTATTGCTGATCGTTACTCTTCCCACCATTCAGTTTCAGATTACCATGTGTACGAGTTCTTCAAGGTATTGCCTGCCAAGTGCCAACTAGTTGGGTCATGATTTTGGACTTCTTACGGTCATGCAGTGTGGTTGTTGGTTTGCATCCTTGTGTGCCATATCTCGGAATAGTGAACCTATGAGTTGTTTTGAGGACTGAGTGTGCTATGTTGCAATGACTATGCTGGCATTTTATGGTTTAGTATGCTGGTGGTAGTTGGCGGTTTACGTTGTATTCTCAACACAGAGTCTATAATACATCATGATCTTTCATTTATACTTCAATATTGTGTAGTAATATTGCTTTCCCTCGTACATTCCTCCTAGCCTGTTTGATTGAGTTTATTTGAGTTGAGTTGTTACTCCAGAAATCCGAGTTCTTATAGTATAAGGTGCCAGTTCTGTTTGGTAGCAGGCTTTACGAATATATATTATACATTTTCTGTTGCCCTTTTCATTAACATGCATTCTTCGGAAAATATTTACATTTTCTTGGACATGTTCTGACATATCATATTTTTTGTTGCAGATATGGAACTGTTCACGTGATGAAGGTACTACAAATGTGTCCATCTCTGCCCTAAATCACCGGATTTGTTTGGTTTCATGGTCAAATTTTTATTGCACCTCTATTAATTCAGACATTTGAATGAACAACCGACCCTTAGAATTAATTTGTCTCAGTTTTGCTAACAATTTGATTATTTTTTAATTTTTATGTCATTCGTTGGATGTAAGATAGCATTTATTAGAAACGTATGCTCCAATTGATATACGTTTTGAGATTTTTGCTTAAATTTTACCTGCACTTCTTTCCCTGCCATACCTTTTTCCCTTCTTTAAAGCAGTCATGATTGGTAATAATTACTTTGTTTTGGCAGCCGATATTCGTGTTCATGAGTTCTTTAAAACATCATATTTCAAGGCCGGGATCCACCCACTTCCAGGTGCTCAGGAGACCATTCATAAGTTGTCAGATTTTTGTGACCTGTCAGTTGTGACGTATGTACAATTAGCTGAGTTCATTTTATTATTATTTTTACCAGAGCATTCAGTAACTTGATATTTTGGCATCTATGTGCATTATCAGGTCTCGGCAGAATGCAATTAAGGACCACACCATTCAATGGATCGAACAACATTTTCCAGGGCTGTTTCAGGAGATTCACTTTGGCAACCACTTTGCTTTAAATGGAGAGTCCAGGCCTAAGTCAGAAATATGCAGGTTTGCCCATGAACTACTTCAGCTGGTTTTGAACATGTTATGTATTTGAAACGTTTCAGTATGCAACTTTCAAAGCTTTTTTTCCTTCGGTTTTTAGAACCTACAAATCCGCTTTTCAAGTTTCCTGTTCCGGTAATGATTCATGTTTACCTGCTTGTTGGTTTTGTTGACTACTATCTTCCTCATAGGACCCTATACTATACATAGTATAGCGGATCTCTGTTCTGATGACGTGTACTTGTCAGGTCCCTGGGAGCAAAGGTTCTAATTGATGACAATCCAAGATATGCACTCGAATGTGCCGAGGTGGGGATCAGAGTTCTACTTTTTGATTATGAGAACTCATATCCTTGGTGCAAGACCGAGTCTATTGATCAACACCCCCTGGTCACCAGGGTTCATAACTGGGAAGAAGTCGAGAAGCAGCTGATGACAATAAATAGCATAAATTCATAGTTTTTCTTACAACCCGTTACAAGATTGGCCGCCAATTTGTCAAGGTATGTTGAGAACATGGAGTGCATCAGAAGGATGCTACAGAAAATATCGTTGATGATCTCTATTCTTTGGTGACCGGACAAAATAGGGTTGTCCGGTGAAAGTTTTAGTAGGACAATTGTGAGAAGTGATGATATCATTACCCCCACTTCTGGATAGGGCTTGGTTTCTTCTCCTTTTTCTCCTTATTATTCATTTAGAGGAGAATAGGGTAAAAGGAAAATTCCCAAGTTGTAAATATGGATGATGTCGAAAATTCTTGAATAATCCAAAATTTTCCATTATTTATTTGTGACCTTGCATTGTTCTTTAGGTTTGCTAGTAGTTTTGTATTCGCCATTACTGCTGCTGCTGTTAATGCTAGAACGACGGAGATGTCGGATTTTGTTCTACCCCTAATGTTTTGCTTTTGACAACCATGAAAATGCCTACACACTGCATTGAAGTTATGAATCCGTTGTTTCTGAATTTTGTTGCACAAATTTGTACAGCATTACAGTTTGGTCAAGTTCGTTTGAACCCGACACTATGACCGGCTCGGTTGGATAATCACATAGCATTCATGAAGAACTCAAGTATTTGATCTGATCAAGGAGCCCTGTCGCATAATTGGTATCAAACGCTTCCGTTCAAATCTCTTCTCCCTTGCGCCGGAGTGATACCAGGCAGCCTCATACCGGCAGCAGCGCGTCAAATTTCAAGTCGGGACGGTCGATCTTTGTCAATTGTCAGGAAAGACAAAGAATGATAATTCGGATCTTGATTCCATATGCTTGTAGACATAAGGTTGCAGATATGGGCTTGGAACCTAGAACCCACCACCTCTCAACCCACCCAAATACCCAATCACATATTATGGGGAAAAGATTTTGGTTTGCAATCTCGTTTTTTCTCTCTGTACTCCCCTTTTTATTTTATTCTTTGATTTATTCAATACAACGGTTAGAATAAAAAAGTGCAGAGGGAAAGAGTAAGTGAGGAAGTGTAAGGCCATCTCCAACCGAGGGCTGGCCAGAGGGCTCGTTTTAGCCCTCTGGCCCTCCAATATTCTTCAAGATATTAATATTTTAATGAACAGTATAGGGCCCAATTTGCCTCCGTCTCCAACCGAGGGTCAGAGGGCTCGTTTTAGCCTTGTCATAAAAAACCATCTCCAACCGAGGGCCAAATGGCCATAGGGCCAAACATAATTTATTATTTAAAAACTACAACTTAAATGTTGTTAAATGTTTTTTTTTTATGTTGTATAATTTTTATGTTGGTTAATGTTATTAATATTGTTTAATGTTGTTTCATGTTACTTAATTTAATTTAATGTTGTATAATGGCTTAGGAGGTTATAGAAAAAAATAGAATTAAAAAAAAAATATGAAACAAATTTTGTGAAATAATTGTGACATCCCACATCGCCCAGGGGAGTTTAAATGTATATTCTCATCCCTACCTAGCACGAGGCATTTTGGGAGCTCACTGGCTTCGAGTTCCATGGGAACTCTGAAGTTAAGCGAGTAGCACGCAAGAGCGCTCCCATGATGGGTGACCCATCGGGAAGTTCTCGTTTAAATTCCCAGAAACAAAACCGTGAGAGAATGGTAAGCCCAAAGCGAACAATATCGTGTTACGGTAGTGGAGTCGGGCCTGGGAAGTGATTCGCCCCTGGCCGGGATGTGACAATTTGGTATTAGAGCCTAACCCTGGCCGTGGTGTGCCGACGAGGACGTTGGGCCCCTAAAGGGGTGGATTGTGACATCCCACATCGCCTAGGGGAGTTTAAATGTATATTCTCATCCCTACCTAGCACGAGGCATTTTGGGAGCTCACTAGCTTCGGGTTCCATAGGAACTCCGAAGTTAAGCGAGTAGCGTGCGAGACCACTTCCAGGATGGGTGACCCATCGGGAAGTTCTCGTGTGAGTTCCCAGAAACAAAACCGTGAGGGAATGGTAAGCCCAAAGCGGACAATATCGTGCTACGGTAGTGGAGTCGGGGGCGGGAAGTGATCCGCCCTGGGCCGGGATGTGACAATAGAAGTTATAGGAAAAAAAATAGAATTTAAAATAAAATGAAACAAATTTTGTGAAATACAAGTTATAGGAAAAAATGAAATTTAAAAAAAATTTGTAAAATAAAAGTAATAGGGAAAAAATAGAATTAAAAAAAAAATGAAAAATAGAAGTTATAGGAAATTTTTGTAAATAAAAAATAATAATAAAACTGTTAAAAAAATATTTAAAGAATTCCTGTTGGTTATACCGACAAGAAATCCAACATAAGCAAAAAAAAAAAAAATGGCCAGCCCTCTAGCCCTCTTCGATTCCGTGGGGCCCTTTCAGGCCATCTCCAACTGATGGCTGGCCAGAGGGCTCGTTTTAGCCATCTGGCCCCCCAAGATTCTTCAAGATATTAATATTTTAATGAACAGTACATGACCATATTTGCTTCCGTCTCCAATCGAGGGCCAAAGGACCAAAGGGCTTGTTTTAGCCCTATCACAAAAAACCGTCTCCAACCGAGGGCTATAGGGTCAAATATAATTTATTATTTAAAAACTACAACTTAAATATTGTTTAAGTTTCATGTTGTTAAATGTTTTTTTTTATGTAGTATAATTTTTATGTTGGTTAATGTAATTTAATGTAATTTCATATTGTTTAATGTTGTTTCATGTTACTTAATTTAATTTAATGTTGTATAATGGCTTAGGAAGTTATAGGAAAAAAATAGAATTAAAAAAAATATGAAACAAATTTTGTGAAATAGAAGTTATAGGAAAAAAAAATAGAATTTAAAATAAAATGAAACAAATTTTGTGAAATAGAAGTTATAGGAAAAAATAGAATTTAAAAAAATATATGAAACAAATTTTGTAAAATAAAAGTTATAGAAAAAAATAGAATTTAAAAAAATATGAAAAATAGAAGTTACAGGAAAAATTTTGTAAATAAAAAAAATACTAAAACAGTAAAAAAATAATAATAATAATCAAAGCATTCCTGTCGGTTATAACCGACAAGAATACATTGCTATTATTTAGTATAAATGTATTACTGTCAGCTATAACCGACAATAATACATTTACACTAAATAATAGCAACGTATTCCTGTCGGTCATGCAGCCAGCCCTCCAGCCCTCTAGCCCTCTTCAATTTCGTGGGGCCCTCTTAGATTCCACAGCCCTCTGGCCTAGCCCTCGGTTGGAGACGGTTTTCGGGCTATTTTTGGGCCTCTGGCCCTCTGGACCCTTCGGTTGGAGATGATCTAAATCCTAAAACCTAAATAGTCTACGTCGAGATTGCAAAGAAAGAAAGGCCCTAATAAAATTTTAGGTCAGGGACAACCATTACGTATCTAAACTACTAATTAATGAACTTTTTTGTCAACCAAAAGAGGGTGAACAGACATTTTTGTCTTCTACCACAACAAAAAGTTAAGGCAGTAATGTAATTTCACAAAATAAAATTTTGATGTTTTTGTTTAAGTTTCACCTACAGGTGATTTTATCATTTCTAATTAAAAAAAAATTCACACACACTTTATATGTGGGCATATACTAGTTCTATTTTATATTTTGAACTCGAAAGGAGACTAGGAGTCTCAGTTCAAATGATATGAGATGAATGAAGTGGATATAAGACGACTTAAAATCTTCAAGTAATGATTTTCTTTACTAATGAGCTTGTACCATAAAGGTCCTTCTTTTAAAAAAAAAAAAAAAAATTAAAAGAAGTCAATAAGTTGGAACCTCGTTTATCGAAAGACAAGAAAAACAAAATATTTTCAGTCTCAAAACCTATTGGGATCATCTAAATCCATCTAATAATTTGATCAGTTCGCTATTCAGCTACATTATTAAAGAGACGTAGGAGGACAGGAAAGGAATAGTACTACAATGCGCAGGAATAAAACACGAAAGCGCAATATTGCAATTCCAAAGATGATCCGACAAATTGCATAAAAGAGAAAGCAAAGATTCTCTCCATAAACATTCAACCAACAATCCCACAGTCGATTGATTTAGCAGTTGAGATGGAGAAAATTTTCGATGTGCTAAAAACCAATTTTATACATTAAGTATCATAATATAAGTGGTTGAAAATTTTTCTTTTTCAAATTTCTAACCAATCGTATTATTATACTTAATGTACCTGACGTGCTCTTGTCACAGTAAAATTTAAAAAATCTCTAGTGAACCTGTAGTGCGGCCCCCACCCCCACCTCCATATCATATACAGTTGTTCTTCCTTGATAACTTTATTAGCCAACAGTTTATTGCACATGAAAGTTGTGAGGAATACGGAACATGGTAGCCTACATTGTGCATCAAGTCTACTGGCCGGTCGGCATGACAAGCCCGACACCGTCTTTTTGTTCACAAATTCAATGATGGGGACATAATAAATCTACCTTCCTAATACATACAATTCTTAATACGCATGAAAGTTTGGAAACTTGGACCTCTACTAGGTACTTTTATTCATAACCCAAGTCAATTTTAGGACTAACAAGCATGTGGTCCAAGATGCTGGTTTTGATATGGTGATGAGTTTTTGTCTATGCGTTTCGAGTTCGAATCTCTTCCCTTTCTTAAATTATTATGCTAGTTTCGAATCCTAAAAACAATTATATGTATGACATTGAATTGAAAACTATGATACAAGGGCATTGATCACATCGATCCTTAAACTTAATTACTAAGGTACATCAGAAATGAGAGATTTTATAGTGTACTCGAAATATAAATAAGTATGTCATATGTTATTATACAATTAGAGAGAATTTTTTTTTTAAAATAATTTCTTGTTAGAAAGAAACTTCAAGAGATAATGACATTCAAATAGATCCAACGTGTATGCGACGGTATAATTAATAGATCTATACTGTAGCCAACAGATTCAATAACGACATGCAAATATTATGTGGACTAAGATTCTCTTTTTTTTTTTTTTTCTTTTTTCTTTCCTTTTTTTTTATTTGAACAATCAAGATTAAGTCATGTTAATATCGTATATAAATTTTTTATAGAAAAAAAAAAGACAAAATAAAGAATGTAAAATGAAGGAATGAAAGAAGATGGAAAGACGATGGAAGATAATCCTAATAATATGTAGGCACCCCAATACCATAAGCTGAGAAGCGCGTTTTTTGACATGATGCTTCTCCAAACGCAAAAGCAAGTTTGAGTAAAGTCCAATCAAACGCAAGCTGTAAATCGCGTTTTATTTTTGCGTATCTGCCCTTTTCTTCTTTAAAGCTCATTCATATGCCATTCTTCTTCGGCCTTTATTGCTT